CAGTAAGGCCAGTACTGAGACTGGCCAGTCTTTGGTACTGTGTCTTCAATTCAGCAAATAATATATATGTTATTCATGTGGAAATGATGTACACAATTAGATTGCTGTTCTCTGTTAGTGAGTACAGCCAAGTCTAAAGGAGCAATTTATTGAAACTGTATAAACCTATTCTGGGGCAGCTTGATTTTTTTCTGCTTGAGAATGAATATGAGATAAATATTTAAAATTAAGATTAAAAGTGACATTTTGAAGTTATTACAAAGTAATTACCTCAAGGCACTTCAGAATTCAGCATTCATACTTAGTGTGGTATACAAACAAATGCACCAAACAACTACAGCATCTGAATAAGAATAAACACTCATTTGCATTTCACTCAGATGGCTGTATGTAAATTGTACTGTACTGCCTCGCCTATGATCTTACAACCAATGCTTAAAAGAAGCTTGATTGTGGAAACGTTCAATCTGCTGTTTATTTAAGTAGGACCAGAGCATCTGCTCAGCAAATAAATTATGGAATAACATCAATAATTCACATTCAGTATGTTGCTATCATAAACGAGTGTTTATGTAGGCAGGCTTAGCTCTATTGATTCATTTTAGAAGCAGGCTAATGATTGCATACGAGATGTTTATGTCCACATTCTGCTTTCGTTGTATTACAGTTCTCAGCTCCTGAATGATTTCTACATTTGTCTGCATATCCAAGTATGCATCTGCTTTTTACTGATTGGCTCAACATAAATTGTAGGAGAGGCTGAGAACAGTTACAGCATGGAATTTTTGTCATTAACATTAATAATGTCCAAAGGCTTGTAGACTGCTAATCTTATGCTTCTTCTGAAGTCAAGGACATCAATATTAATATGGACTTTGTCTCTACTCTTCTGGGAAGGCTTTATACTAGATGTTGAAACATTGCTGAGAGGATTTGATTACATTCAGCCACAAGAGCATTAGTGAGGTCAGCTCCTGGTGTTGAATGATTAGTTCTAGATCACAAGTGCCACTACTACTCCTCCCAAAAGTGTTTGATGGTACTGATACTAGACTCACTATTTGACTATTAAAATTAACATGTATTTGCTAAAAAGCTTTTTAAAGCTTTTTTTTTAGAGTTTTAATCTTTTAAAGCTTTTTTAATTTAATTGTCTTTTAGTTGAAGTTGGTTGTCTTTTACTGTATAAATTCCACATTTATGGGGAAGATCATCCATGAACTGGACAGACAAGCTCTCCACATGTGTGCTTATTTGCAAAGTTACAGTGTCCTCGGTGCAGGGTCACAGTGCAAACCAGAACAGCAGTGACTCAGCAGACTCCTCGCAGTTTTGTTAGGGCCTGACCAAAACAGACCAATACAAAAGCTTCAGGGTTGCCTTGACCTTCTGAAGCCAGATATATTATAAAAAGCTTGCATACTGAACTTGAGAATAGAGGAGAGGTGTCACAATCCACAATGACACAAGCCTTTGACTAAACAGGTTTACAATATGTACACCTTGAACAGTCCTCTTTCGTAGCTGCTGTAACTCAATTTCCTTTTGCATTAATAAAAGATCTGTCTGTCTGTCTGTCTGTGTGTCTATCAATGTTTCTATTTATGTAAGTAACTACTATGTAACTAGTATGTAAGTTACAGTTGTCTGCAAATGTTTGAAAATCTCCAGTCAAATTACAGGTTTTGTTAATGAAAATATGTTTAACATACTGGAAAAAATAAAACATAAAATATAAATATGCTATAACTTTTGCACTTTTTTTCCAATTTGTTAAATTCTTTCAACAAATAAATAGTAATTGTGCATTAAAGTGTGCAGAAATGTGTTCTCTGTAGAGGATACGTTAACTTATTTTCACTTAGAAAATCAACAAACCAGGGGTGCCCAAACTTTTTCATACAATTTTATGTAACTGAGACACAAGGTCGCCTCATAAATGTAGTAAAATGTAAAAGAAGAACTGAAAAGTGGGCCTAGATACAGGTTTAAGGGGTTAAATGGAAAATTGTGCTTGCATCGCTAAAGTCAGCGTGAGTTGGAAATCATAAGACATTTTCATATCCTGAGTGAAACACACTATCAGGGAGGGTCTAGCTGAATGTGTTCGCTTGATGAACAGTGGGGGTGGTGGGAGGGAGAGATGAAACATGGTATTACTGATGACGAAAACAAAACTCAGAAGACATATGAGTCGGGCAAAATTCACAACATTTTGCAGGAGGATTACAGAAAACAACAAGAACTTGGTATAATGAATTGTTAATCTCACATATAGTTTTACGACTGAAAAGCTGCTGGCCTACATGACCAATTAGTGGCAGTCAGAACCCTGTAAAGTTGATATTACTTCAACATACTTCTGTGTACTTTCTCAGGGTTCTCTTGTTGTAATTGCAAAGTAAGATCCTTGCACAGTTGTGCCACAGATGGGATAAGCAACATCAAACAAGCTTGGAATTATGTTTCAACTACTCAATATTAATATACAAGTGTATTCTGCATTGTATGTACATTGTACACCCATCGACTACTTCATTAAGTACACCTACCTAAACTCATTGTCCATTTTATCAGCTCCATTTACCATATATGTGCACTTTGTAGTTCTACAATTACAGACTGTAGTCCATCTGCTCACCCTGTTCTTCAATGGTCAGTACCCCCACAGGTCCACCACAGAGTAGGTACTATTTGAGTGGTGGATCATTCTCAGCAATGCAGTGACACTGAAATGCTGGTGGCGAGTTAATGTGTGTTGTGCTGGTACAAGTGGATCAGACAGAGCAGTGCTGCTGGCGTTTTAAACACTGTGTCCACTCACTGTGCACTCTATTTGACACACCCACCTTGTTGGTGCACCTTGTAGATGTAAAGTCAGAGATGATAGCTCATCTGTTACTGCACAGTTTGTGTTGGTCATCCTCTACTCCTTAATCAGCAGTCACAGGACGCTGCTCACAGGACGCTGTTGGCTGGATATTTCTGGCTGGTGGACTATTCTCAGTCCAGCAGAAACACTGAGATGTTTAAAAACTCCAGCAGCACTGCTGTGTCTGATCCACTCAGACCAGCGCAACACACACTAACACACCACCACCACGTCAGTGTTACTGCAGTGCAGAGAATTATCCACCACCCAAATAACACCTGCTCTGTGGTGGTCCTGACCACTGAAGAACAGGGTGAAAGGGGTGAAAGTATGCAGAGAAATTGAGGTACTACAGTCTGCAATAATAGAACTACAAAGTTCTCCTATATAGTAATTTGACTTGATACAATGGACAGTAAATGCAGGAGGTACAAGACAGGTGTACTTAATAAAGTGGGCAGACAGTATATATTACTTTTTAGCCACGGACTATATTTCCACTCTTAATGACAGCAACCTTACCCAAGAATTTGACGACCTCATTGTTAAATAATCAATAAAATTTCCAGCTATGGACACTGAAGGCCACTTCTGCAAAGTAAAAGAAAAAAAAAAACTTATGGAAGTGCCATGGCCAAACTTTACTAGACACTTCTGAAACACTAGTAACACTTTGAGCTCACTATATATACAAGTCATTCACCATATATTAGGATTTTGAGGTCTTCTGCACTGCTCTGAAAAGGTCACTAAGCTCATGGGTGACTCTCTGCCCACTGGCTAAGACATTTTTCGAGCGCTGGCCACAGCAACTTCACCCTGGAATTTTATAACCTCTTGCTTTTGGAATAATCCACAGTCCGAGTAGGGGTCCAGCTTTAGACACTGAAGACCACCTCTACTAATTACAGGAAGAGTGTATTAGCTAGTCAGATAAGAGACAACAGCTTCTCCTTCCTGTCAGTTTGCAAGACGGAAATCCTTCGAGGTCCTCTTGAGAAGGTGCTGCGATTTTGAAGCCCACCGAGCAGACACCCCTCTCCGAGTTATAGTCCAACCTGCAGGATTTTAGGCAAAATGGCGACAGTGTAATGGATGGGAGACTAAATGGAGCAGTAATGGAAGTGTCATGAGCAAAGTTGTCGCTTTTTTACTCAGTGCTGCGTCTTAAAGGTAGGTTTAATGCTCGGTTATGATCAGTCCAGGCTGTTTTGGGGGGTCTGCTGTCTGTGTGCTGAGTGTTAACAACATGCCGTTGTCCTTTTTGCTTGAGTCCTTGGGATGAAGGCTAACAGACCAGGTTATGCAGAGAGAGGGGAAGAGAGAGAGACAAGAGAGAGAGAGACAGTGAGAGACACAAGGCAAGGCAGTGCAGGATGTTCAGAGGTGAACAGAGTGAATAATCATGATGTCGTAGCGTAAAGCATGAATAAGTCACGAAACCATTTCACCATTTTCCGCTGTAAATTAGCTCGCTAGTTGAACGCGATGCTAGCTGCGCTGGGGGAAAAGTTGGGCTTTGCTTCTGCTCTGCGAGTCAGCGCACTTACAAGCAAAGGTTTGTCGTGTTTTTTTCCTCTCCCTCCCCTGGAAGTCGACGCTTTATCTGCTCCTTTACAAGCCTCCGTGTCAGGATCTAGCCAAAGCATTGTCAATCAGCAGCTCAGGCGAGCCCCGTTTCCCCGTGTCAGCAGCGGCGGCGGCAGCAGAAGCCCCAGCCCTGCCTGCCTGTCTCGATGCACCAGCTCCAGCTCAGCTTTGACACTTCAAGCAAAAGGCGCAGACGCGCAGCAACTCTCTAACAATCATCATCTCTCCGTCTCGCGCGCTGAAGGCTCATCTCATCTCATCTCTGCTAGAGCATTTGTAACTGCAAACACAAGCTCCTGCAACTTGATCAGCTCTTTTGGCAATTGCACGTTCCTCTTGTTGAGCGTTTTTAACAAGTGACACCATACTTTTACAAGCAGCCCTTCCAAACCTGGAGGAGAATAAAAATAAAGCCAGCTCGTTCTAGTCCCTTGTGGAACCTGTCAGGTGAAGCCACATTTAGAGGTTTAGTAGGCCTGCACTAACCTGTACTGCAGTAGAGTCACTTCATGCAGGCCCACAGGGGCTCTGAGCCCAGATGGTGCGGCCCTGCAAGGTGCCCTTCGGCCCCGGTGCAGATAATAAGCAGAAAGAGTGATCAGTTTCCCTTCTGGTTCATTTCTGTCAGCCTCAGTGTTTGTAGGCAGACGCCTCTAATTAGCCCTGTGTTTTCTCAGGCTGAGCTTCTTGGCTGCGGCTGATTTTTCATTTTCCTTGTGTTTCTTTTTTTTTCTTTGACTCATTTCAGACTTCGACTTCATTGCCTGTTGTTGTAAGTGTGACTGTGCGACACGTGCTAAAATGTTCTTTAGGTTGTGTGGAAAGATAAAAAATTCTCTGCCAAATACACCGCATGGGACTGCAACGGTCTTTACACCTCTTTTTTTCTGTTTTTACGTCGTTCTCTCTCTGCTTTCCTCATTAGCAATGACATGGTAAAGTGTAGAAAGCATGTAGTTGTGTTATTATATATTCTCACCCACACAGGTTGCTGAAAATCTTGATAGAGGGCAAGGAGAGAGGCCTAATACTGTACAGTGTACATTTTTTTCTGTTTCAGAATGTATGCTGCCTCCTTCGGCTTAAGGGTAGAGCACAGATATCTTCATAGTACAACATAGAGGTGAAATATGTTCAGGCGTCATTGTCTTTACTCTTTAAAAGTATAATTGCAAACTGTAAAGAAGAGATATGAATTCTAAAAGATGTGTAGAAAAACACATCAAGTGATCTTGGTTAGTTCTTGTCATGTTCTGTCATTTTGTGGGTTTGGTGCACATTTTAATAGAGCAAAGCTTTGGGACAAGTGAAATTAAACCTCTTTAAAAGTTCCTTTTAATTGCGACATTCTTAGCATACAGTCGAGTACTGAACAGCATACAGTCGAGTACAACTGAACAGAAAACCCCTCGACTCAAAACACTTTTTTCTGTCATTAAGATTACAGTTCGTTCATAACCATTAGAATGTGAATCAAACAGAATGTGATGTATTACTAGTAGCATTGAAATGAAAAATTACATAAACAAACAAATAAATAAATAAACAAATAAATAAAATTAGCAGTGAGCACAAGTGGCGTTCCTCCTACCCTATGGCTGCTAATAGAGCCATAAACACTCAAAGAAACCTTTGCATGACTAAAGGGTTCTTTGCATCGTGAAATGGTCCTTCAGATTGATGGAGAATGTGCTGTAGATGGTTCTATATAGAACCTTTTGAAAAGGGTTCTATTTAGCACCAAAAAGGGTTCTCTTACTGTTACAATGTCAAGCTTTGAATAATAGAAGAACACTTTTTGGTGCTATATAGAACCCTTTTCAAAATGTCATCAAAATGACATCATTCTGAAGAACCTGTTCATGATGCAAAGAACCCTTTAGTCATGCAAAGTGTTGCAAAGAGTGTTCATGGTTCTATATATAGAACCATTTTCTTTACTAAAAAACCCTTAAAGAACCATCATCAAGTGTGTAGGACAGACATATACATGCATTCATATGGACTATATGGGATGGTCTGTCATTTAAAGCTGCACTTTGTAAGATTGAAGTAGTGCTACTGAGTTGGGAGAAGAAAAAAAAACATGCGAAATATAGTGTCTGTGCGCTGCTAAAAATAGTAATTTTGTGAGAGTTTTTTGGACCATGTCATACATCTTTAGGTGTTAACATTACATGCACAGACTCAAAAAGAAGGTCAGGCTCAATGTTATGTCTCAAATGCCAATTCAACATACTGATGAAGATACAATGACAATAGTGGATCATTCACTCACATCCTTGGGAGACAGATCCTTCACTAAGTTTTGACTCTTCAAATACACTTTCAACCGCAGTCATCAGACTCATCTGCTCAAAGTGTTCTTCCACACATTGTATGCAGTTACATATTTCCACCAGAGAGGTCTCCAAATCTCCAGATCTTACATAGGGTAGCTTTAACATTGAAAGGAAGTTGTTGTGTATGGGGAGAGCCAGGGCGCATGTGCATGCACTGTCAATAACAGAAGTAAATGGGCAGTTGCTTGGCAGTGGTAATTGACTTCTTGTTACAGATAAAGGAGATTGAGGTTAAAACACTGGAGTATTTTCTTAATTCACTACCATCATAATGATTCTGACATTGGTGTCTGTTTTTGGACTTTACCTTAAAGTCTTGAGAGCTGTCTATAAAAGTGAGTAATTTAAGTTCTCAAAGAAAAGAATTCAGACTATGGAACATCATTTTGGCGGAACAAAGCCGAGCAAAACAACAGCAACAGATGATAGAAAAATGTGTGAAGTAAATCACTTAAACAGCTACTATAGGGCTCAGTGAGAACCTCTAGAATGGAGAAACCATCATCTGTGCACTGAAGTCCTAAACAACAGAAATAAAAAATGTCTGCACTGCAAGTTGTACATTTTGTGCATTAACATCAAAACAGAAAGACAAGATCACTGTACTAATATTAAAAGTGCAGAGATGACTCTGCAGACTTAGTAGAGTTTAATGGGCAGATGATAGTAAATACCAGCATGAATGTAAAGTTAAGGGGTACAGAATGAAAAAACAGGCATTCAAATAATCTCTCATCTCAACTCTCAGATGTGTTTCAGACGTGCAATGGCTTGTAGTCTCTGCTGGTGATGCAGTTAAAATGGCTAGACTACACTAAAGTATACCAAACATAATTTGAAAAATTCCTCAAAGTGCACTGAAAATTGGATTAGAAGGGTAAGAACGTGCACCAGAAGTAGATATATAATGACACATATTTGAAAAATGACTCCAAATGTCTTGGATGGTGCTTCACTGTGCAGTACGAAAGTGTTACAGAACACACTGCCAAGTCAGCAGGGTATGCGAGGTGGTCATTTAAGGGAAAAACATGTCATGCTTTCAACCAAGTCAGTCACTTCATATCAATAAAGAATGCAGCTTGCTTGCTAAAAATGAAACTGAAGTCAGAACCACCTAAACACACATACACAAAAGAACTGAAAAGGGTGCAGAAAAGGCCTGACAAAGTAATTTATGCTCGCTGAACTGGGGGACAAAATGTTCCCAAAAGTGAAAGGCAGTGCTCTGTTTTTGCTTCATATTTGTCTTGAGTACACACACAAAAAAGAAAAGAAGCCTTGTGCATTCATCTGTGAGTTCTCTGGCCCAGTACTTTTTAACTTTTTTGATCATCAATATCAGATAATTACTTTGTACTGACTTACCAGAAGCTACAAATAACAGTACAGTATTATAACTTAGTTCAGTGAATTAGAAATTTGGAAAGCATTAGCCTCTTTGTTTCTCTGTGTCATGAACATTATTGCCATACATTGAACTCCATTCTGCTCTCAAGTCCTTCATTCTTAAAAATTTTAACAGATTTTTATTTTGTCGTCCTCACACCTGCATTTTATGCATGAATGCCACCATCTGGTGCAACAGAAGTAAAGGGCAGAGAGGAGGATAGAGGAGGACTATGAAAATGGATTAACGTACCTTACATAACTTAAAACAGTATTAGCAGCCAAGTTGAAACCTAAATTTCATCTGTACATTTGTCCAGTTTTGCTGATAATAGTGTTATACAGTCATACAATGTCAAAACCACATATGCAAGTTTGAGATTATTTATCCTCTCAGTTTGCTTTGAGGCCAGTGTGTGATGATTTAGGCATGCTGTTTGCATGATGCTAATTAGTGAGGTGTCAGCTTCCATTACTTGTTAGCTACATTAGCCTTATAGCTCCATAAAGCTAAAGAAAAAAGCTTTGGACACAAAATAAGTCTTGGCTGATTGACTACGTTTGGGTTAAGTGGAAAATTGTGTAAATTTGGTTCTTCACCAGAATGTCACTTCAGGTGCACCATTTATTGAGAGCAGATGTGTTTAACTAGTGTTGGAACCAAATCACGATAGCAGATCTCCAAGTGATGGTTGGTGACGATGTGCTCGATTCTGCTACACCATAAAGACGCAAACTGGATGACACATTGCATAGCACCAGGGCAGAGAGGGACTCAAGACATGTTTGTTATGATTGCACATGGCACAGCTGGGAATTGAACCTGAATGTCGGCATTAGAGAGCATTTCTTGACTGATATGCATTACTTTTACCAGCCGTGCCCTCTGGGCCACAGTGTAATATTTTTTTATCAGAGGCAATAGTTTTGCATCAAAGACTTGAACTTTCCTTGGCTCGTTTTCCCCGCGCCGCTGACAGGTGCTCCAGTCCTTCCCTGTTTTCAGTCTCCATTCTTGCACACTCCGAGCTTCTAAAATTGAGTACAGACAGGCTGTCAGTCGCCATTAGCCTGATTCCAATCCAGGCAGCGGGAGACAAGTTCCTGGATGGTGAGCTCAGTTTGCCCAAATTTTTGAGACAGATTTTTAAGCGAGTGCTGCTCTAGGCCTCAGGAGATGCTCGATCCATCAGAAGTGGAGATATCTGGAAAATTCAAACAAGCATTATTGAGAGTCTGATTAGCCCGTAAACACAGCTAGGCATGTTAATGCAAGATAATTACAACCACATAATGAAAGGATCTCATCTTAGTGAGTTATGGGTGCTTGGGTATGTAACTAAAAGGACCATATCATACCCTTTTCCAGTATTTTATGCATGTTTATATGCACAAAAAGTAGATATAATTCATTTTTACATGATTGTTTTCCAACTGCTCTCCATACCTTCAAGCAAACTAGCTGTTTTTGTTATTGTGTCTTTAAGGCTGATGTAATAGGCAGCCATATGTAAATATGTTCAATGGTGAATTCGAAACGGACTGTTTAGTTTCCATATAGACATTGTGTAGGCTGGGATGTGAATTGCATGTATTAACAGATTTTATTGCACATCTTCGTGTACCATTTCTATTGCTTTGCTGAGTTTAACATATTGGAAAAAATAAAACATGAAATATAAAATGTGCCAGAACCTTTACACAGACCAGATTTTGTACGTGCACAGACCTCAATTTATGTTAAATTGAGCAAATAAACAGTAATTGTGCATTATAATGTGTGTTCTCTGTAGAGGATGTATTAACATATTTTCACTTAGAAAATTAATATGTAACATGTAATCTGAATAGGAGTGTGCAGACTTTTGCATGCAACTGTATGGGCCCTTTAAGTGAAGGAAGCTGTTGCTATGATTTCTTCACTGCACAACGAAGTCTCCCAACTCACTTGAAGCATTGAACTCTTCCCACTAATCTGATGAAAACAGCAAGTTGCTGCATGTGCAGGAGATGGCACCCCTTGTGTTTTTTCTGGGACGAGATATTGGATCATTTGGTTAGTCACATGTTGGGTTTTGTTGATGTTCATAATAAAAAAAAAGGAAATGGATGATTAATGATAAAAAAAGTTTTCCTAGACCTTATACACACTCACACACACACTCTCTCTCACACACACACACTCTCACACACACACACACACACACACACACAAACACACACTCACACACTCACACACACACACACTCATGCACACACACACACACACACGCATGCACGCACACACGCACACACACACACACACACACTCACACACTCACACACTCACACACACACACACTCATGCACACGCACGCACACACACACACACACACACACACACTCACACACGTATACAAATGTCCATAAGCAAGCGAGCCAGTCTCTTGCAGGCAGATATCATAGCGTGACTGAATAAATGAACCACTGTAGGCCAATTTTCCACAAATTGATTACGCTTCACTCCGCAAGGTCAAATATTTGCACTGAAGCGAAATGTTGGAATGGCCAGAGTGATAAAACACTAGTTCCATCCTCCCATCTCACAGTGCTATAAATGAAGACGCTGGGGAATGGCTTAATGGGAGTACACTGCCCTGAATTAGCAACCCAGCAGAACTGCAGCCGGGTCGGAGAGATATTTCAGTAAGCTGTTGATCTAGCCAGAACACTGAGACCTCCATAAGTCTGTTACAGGCACTTGAGGACAGGAGCATGTTTGTTTTCTCTGCAGAAGACGCTAACGCTAACTCTTAGCTGTTCATTCAGAGGGATTTAACCTTTAACCTTCTGCACAACCATCTCAGCTGCTGGACCCGTTGGACAGACTTTCCGAGAGTGACCAGTTGTCCTAGGTCATTTACTTGAGTGAAGGGGATGCAGGGCAGTGTATTGGGCTTTTTCCTGGGAGAGTAGACATGGATATTTTTACGGGAATGATGTAATTTTGTTGTCAGTGTTAACTAATATTAATGCTCAGATAAACAAGATTGTATTCCTAGAGAAGCACCTTTTTTGCAAGAATGTCATACTGGGATAGTGAGGAATTTTTATGATGCAATAATCTGGAGCAGCTATATTTAGGCTCTTTGTCAAGGGCAAGATTGGGCTGCACTAGACTTGTCATGATTATGACTTGTCATTAAAAAAATTCAATAGCAATACCACTATTAATATCTTGACTAGGACTTTAACCATTATGAAATTGTTAGCAGACGATTACAAATTGTCCTATAATTAATTGCAATTAACAATTTTATTGCTTTTTGAAACTATTAAAATAGAAGCCTAAAGTGGCAAAATTGGCTGATTAGCCACCTTTCTTGCTAGCAATGTTTACTAAGTAGCTAACAACAGCTAGCAGCAGAATGTGACTGTATAATTGCAGTCAGCTTCACTGCGATCATCTCAGTTGCGATTGGGTGATTATGTAGTAATTATGACAGGCTTAATCTTGACTTTGATGCCGAATCCTGAACCATATCTTTACAATACCTTCTTTTAGATTACAAAAGTAAGTGTGGCTTAAACCAGAAAAGAGTTCCAGAGATTCTGGAAGTGGGTAAATTTACTGACCATAACAGATTGCAGACTAATCAAGAAGCACTGACATTAATAACATGCAAACTGAATGTAAGTTAGACAGCCAATCAGCAGTCTAGATTTTGGAACAAGCATGCTTTTTGGACTTGAAAAATGGTATTGAGTGACCAAGTGTCTTGTTACTCAGTTATATTAAGTTATTTCAGTTGATACCATGAAAGTATTACATTATGATACGCAGTCCTGGTTGTGACACCAGAAATGTTGACTTTGATTTGGCATAAATAAATAAATAAATAAATAAGAACACCCAGATGTTTTTTGAATTGAACAAAAAAGACTTTTGAGATTACAGAATAATTATAAATTATAAAATCTCAGATTTATGAATTCCTCTCTTTTTATCAATACAGAACTCTTTAAATCCTGAATAGATCAAATAAGTATGTAAATCATTTAACATGGCCTCATTTAACTTATTCCAAATGGAAGATGGAAGATTGTGAGAAAACAAAGCCTAACATTGATCAAGTGGATTATACATTATGTTAAATTAGTGAATTAAACTTTTCACCTGTATGTTTTTAGATATGTTATTGAATATAACTCTTTAAATGTATTTTTTATGTATGCTTGAAAATGTGTTTGCGTTCAGAGGAATACAGCATCAACACTGTGTTAGCCTAGTTGACAATAGTATGGAAATGTATTGAAGCAAAAATGTAAAAAGTTGAAATATTGAATTGCTTGCCATCCCTGAAAAAATCACTGAACGATCAATATAATGTTCATCACTAGTCTGGACTGTAGCTTCTCCAAATGCAGACTTCCACATATTTGTTCATGCATCCCACTATATTCATCCTTTAAAGGGCCCATATCTTACATTTTGTGTATTTTTGTATTTATATATTTATGTATCATGAGGTGCTGAGGTGTTTTATGTACCAAAAACAACATAATTTATTTTTGCATGACCATTTTTCAACCTCTCTTTACCCCTGAGAATTAAATGGGCTGTTTTTGTTACTGTGCCTTTAAGACAGATATATATAAAAGACCCCTTTTTGATTGGCTTGTCCAGATTTGTGCCTCGTTCAAAAAGCAGTTCAGGCTGAAACACTTCTTATAACTTCAGCTTATGGTTACTTTTTCAAACAAGCGAAGAACATTCAGTTTCCCATGATATAAACCATGTAACAAGACTCAATTTGATACTCTGATGGTATTGTAATGGTTTTGGAAAATACATCTTATGCAATGAATTTACTTGAATCAAATTGGGACACAATTTCCACATGAATAAAATACATATAAATTTTTTTTTCTTGTTTAGTTTACTTGCTTTGGACAGTAGTATTGTTGATGTGATGTGTTTTAATCATGTAAAAATATTGTTCAAGCTAAATACTCTATTTACAGTGAATCCTGCGTGTAGAGGATATGTAACATCTCTTTTATTTTCTTTCATTCGTAGGCTGGTGTTCCCGTGTCTGGATGGTGCCAATGTTTGCGATAAGATCGGTAAGACCCATGTTGCCAAGCCAGTCAGTTCTTTTCTAAGTCAAAGGTCTGTTTGATGGAGTTTGGCTTCAGGAGAGATTGTTGAGGTTTAATGTTAAATAGGTAGGCAAGTGAAGGTAGATGTTGCCTTGCTGTCTGCTGGTTCTGTGTGATACTGTTTTGTAGTATTGTTATACAGAGAAGCAGCTCACCCTGGGTGTACACGGTGTCAGGCGGGTGTGGGTGTGCGCGTGTGATGTCGCAGACATTTGGTGGCGTGTCTCAACACTTTGAGCCGAGACTGAACGTGTGAACTGCTGTGATACTATAGCTGGGTGTGATCAGCAGTCAAATGAAATCAGGGCTGTCAGTTACGTGTGTCAGAAACTTCAGCTCGGCACGTCAGCCTGGAAACCTGGCAACCTTGTCATGGCAACCTTCATCTACTTCTCACACACACAACAAAATGCCAAAAAAAGGGGGATTCTTGGTAGGATCCTGTGTGTGCAAAGCTGACAAGATCATTTTGAGTAATTGGACGATGATCCATGACCCGCTTCTGTTACGTTAGAGAAATGGAGAAGATATCTAGAAATAAGTCTTCTGTTTGCTCTCGGAGCCAAAAAAAAACCCAGTTTCTCTGAAGCTTGTTCTGGGATATCTGCCATGATTTTTTGATAGAAATGTGTCTGACTCGCAGCGTCTACACTTGCCCCAAGCTGAATGTAGGCCTACTACTGTACGCCTCTCTAATACGGTGCTTTCTCCTCCCGCGCTTTTCCATGTGGCGAGCTCTAACGTTAACTTAACATCCCTGAAGCCTTTGTGATGTTGACGATTAATGGGGTAACAAGTTCCCTCACCTGATGAAGCAGGCGTGAATAAGGCTCATTGAGATGTCCCTGTAGCAGTCGCTCCTCCACACCTGAACAAGCAAATGAGAGGCTTTCCTTAATTAAGCGCTTCATTAGGGGAATTACGCAAAACACAAAACCTCACACCTCTTCTCCAAACCTCTAGACGTACATACAGAATCAACTTAGCTCCGACGTCTCCTGAGTGGAATCGATGCCACTGCTGGATTCATCACTAGGGGGCAGGATTTGATCACTAATTCTTCACACGCCATCAGATGGATGCCCATAATAACCAGCTTCCATTTACATGCCTTTTTTACAAGTCATTTATAAAACACAGGAGAGCGAAAGGAAAATGTCCTAATTTAACCTCTGAAGATGTTCTTGTAGCATGTGTTATAGAATATAATGCAAAATTTAAAAATGACAGGTGCATTATACAAAAAAAATCAATTTAATGTGCTATAAGCAGTAGGACACCTACTAATGAACATATGTGAAGCTTTGGAAATACTGTTAAAGTCCTTTAGTGAATGAAAAAACCCAATATTTTATGCTGAAATGTAAACAAGTGGACATAGTAGCCCATACCTCTTATATTATAGGCCTGTAAAGCTGTTGTGTATTTTTATTATTACATTTAACACATGGAATGACATTATCCTGTGTAGATTCCTGTGAACTGTGGATTGTCTCTGTAAAAATGAAAAGAAAGAGGCATTTGTAAGAGATTCCTGGATCGATATGGCCAAGGTTTCCACAATTCTCTATCGACAAGCCTTGTTTTCCTCATGTCGAGCATCCGTTAACCGCAGCTGCATTCACAGTTTTCTATTGACTCAAAGATGCAAAGGTAAAAGTTTGCCCCTTAATTTAACTGTCAAATGGCCAATGGCTGTTTGGTCGAATCCAAAGCTTTGCCTGTTTTAACTGAAGTGTCTCTTATTAAATTAGCATTAGCTTCTGTTGTGGCCTAATGGAGAGATTTGATGGATTTGTGGTCCAGATATTCATGAAATAAGCATTAATGAAAGAGGAGATCATGTGAACTGTGGTCTATGAATGCATTTATTTATTATTTATTTAGCAGAGAGAAATGTAGGATATTTATTTCACTTTTCAAATAGAATATCAGATGTTTCCTGAGATGAGTCAGATGGTTTCTTTTTTTGTAGGTTTGCACTTGCAGTTTATAGCTTTTAGCAGTTAATTCTTAAACATAATAGTCAAAATGGGCCATCTGTTGGTCAAGAGTGGTAGTGAACAAAGAAAAGATTAATAGGACAGTGCAATTACTCAATAAAGACATTTTAAATCTTTGCTATTGAAATTTGTAGTGAAATTTAGCTTGACCTTATTTTTAAATACAATTTTTTTTAATCAAATAGTTTTATAATTCAGCAGTCAGCAATACTGTTGAATTAATCATCGGCTCCAACAATAAAAGAGCTTTTGCTTTGTTATATGAGCCACAATAACATGTTTGAAGTAGATAACAGTGGAAGCTTCAGATGAAGTCAAAGGATTAATGCTTGCTTTGTGAAGTCTAGAAAATACGAAGTAGTTTTAAGTATTGAAGATGAAAGCATTGCTCAGTTTCGACAAAGCTGATTCAGTAGTACAGTTTTAGGAAGTTATGATTTTTTTTTCATCCTGGCTAAAGTGATGCAAGACTTTACTCGATTTGAAAGTGCACATAATTTCGATTTGAATAAAATACATCAGCACAATTTTGTCTTTTTGTTGATTTCCTTTTTTGCAGTAATTGTGTTAATGTATTTTTTTTTAATTTAGAAATTGTGTAAATATTTGAGTTAAGTGTATAGAACACTGCTATTTTTCAGTGAAGTGCAGTTTACTACTGGTTCATGTGGCATTTGATTATATAGAGGGTAAAAATACAAAAAAATCTCCAAACAGAAGAAAAGGCCCTTCAGAGACAGCTCTGTCTGTTGTGAATCAAAAGGGACATTTTGATCCTCTTTGATTTGGTCAGTTGCATTTTGATCTTGGGCGTAATGCATCTTTAACTTGTCGTATCCCTCCCCGCAGGACTAATGACCTTGCTTGGTGTTGAATGGCACCCAGGCCCAGAAGGTACAAGCAGGGGAGGGGGGTAGCATCCCACCACCATCACAGGCACCGGCCCCAGCACTGATAACATCGCATTAATTGGGATGTAGAAAGTGCTTCTCTCTCTCACTCTCTCTCTCTCTTTTGTATACATTTACCATTATACTCATTAGCTTCCCGTCGCCTCCCAGCTAGCATCTCCTTCACAGCCTGCCAGGATTCTCTTGGGAGGCTATTTACATCTCTCCATGAGGCCTCTCTCAGGGTTATTGGGGAAATCCCACCCGCCCCCAATACCACTCCCACCTCTCCTTCTCCGCTGCGGCCCCTCTTTTGATATGTTGTAGGGCTCCTGTGATTGAGGGCCACTCTGGTGTTAATGAGCGGTTGCGATGCAGGGTCCACCTCCTCATTCAGCTTTAATGGATGCCATTGACAAACAGCAGTGAATAATAAGAAAGTGATGGTTTTTTAATATCCTCGGGGAGTCTGCTTGGTAGAGGTGGTCCGCGGGATGCTGCGGAAGGCCCTGTGCTGTTGGGACCTGGTGCTTTTTTTTGATCAGCACTGTGTATTGTAAGCGAGTCAGAATTTGTTAGGCTGGAGGTCAGTGTGACTGGCATTGAAGGACTTAATAGATTGCGAGCTGACACGACTGATTTGGTGCAATGCAGTGCTTGTGTAGTGTTTGTGTTCCATTTTCTGGAGCTACACTTCTGAAAATAAAGGTAGCAGAAGGGGTTATTTGGAGAAATGCCATAGGAAAGCCACTTTGGGTTTTGAAGAACCTCAAAGAACCTCTACATAATGTAGAAGTTCCATAATAAGGGTGTAGCAATTTCTATACAGTTCTGAACAGTAACAGAATGTATGGAAATATAAACTGTTTAGCTGATATGTCCCTTGGTCTGTTCTGGGGGTCTCTTGTTTAGCATCTCCTATGGAAACCACCGTCAGTGATCAAAAGTAGACATATGGGAGCATCCCATTAAAATGAAGTAGATGGGGAGGGGCATATGTTGGGCATGCACCCACACTTTTTTCAGAAGTCTTTTTTTTGTTGATGTTAACACTGAGATGCTTTTGGGGAAACTGGGTCTGGTTTAATACAGTACTGTGCAAAAGTCTTAGGCACTTCATCAGGCTAAGATTATAATATATACAGATAGCACTAGTACAGTAAGTAGTGGTTATATATCTGTTAATATGTTTATTTAACCCTTTAAATGGCCAAGGCCCACCAGCAGGCCCAAAGTTTTGTTACAACCTACTATAACCTAAGAATAGCTCAGCCAGTTTGCATTGAATCATTGTAGTTACTGAATAATAAGCATTAGTATGTAATGAGTTTGGAATTTTAAGGGGCTAACCATTCCCAAACTTCTCCTCAAGGAAGCCCAGTACTACTTGTAGTAATTATCTAATACCTAGTTTGGCTAATCAGTGCTCAATTATGTTAAATCCAGTCTGTCCAATAGGAGGAGAGGTCAGGGGTACTCCTACACTGTTAAGGTTCTTAACAAAGGTTCTTTCATGTTTTTTGGCTTGGATGTAGAGTTCTATGAATAAAAAAAACTGCAATTGATACAGATATGGAAGTTTTGTAAACTTGAAAAAGTCACACAACTAATTTACAAAATTAGTTCTTTAAAGAATCATCCATTTAGGGGACCAGAAGTGACTCTTTTATGGAATCACTACAAAGAACCCTTCATTAATTAGAGTGTATTGGACAGTCGTCAGTTTTGGCTGAAGTTATCCAGTTTGCTGAGGAATCCTACTTTGTGTAATACCCCCCCGCCCCAGCTCAGCTCAGCTGAGGAAGTCATGTTAACAGTTAATGTAGTTAATTAGTGGTCCTCTCCACTTTAATTTAACTCTCTTATGCTGTTTTATGTAGCTCATGTCTTCGCTGGCACTTCACACTACATTTTAATGAAAGCTAATAAGTGGTGTTCCGTCCTGATACCTGCGGCTCTTGACATTTCTCTAAATGTGAACGCGCCGCTAGACCTGATCCCCGTCCTCAATTTGGAGGCGAGCGTTGACATTGAGTCACTTTCATCTGATTGGTCACGTGCCTCTACAGCA